CCTCACGTTGGACATCAGTCAGTGAACGCAATGACTAGTAAGTCCGCCTGTCATCTGTTGAAGGCCAATACTAATGTAGCTTTTGAAATTCGCTCAACCAGAAGAAACTTCAACAGATGCGATTCGGGCTTTGAACTGGCAATTACTAGTTTAAACTTACGGCATTGATGCTTTTTTTTTCAACTCAAACTCAGTGCACTACGTTAAATATCAGAGGGGAGAATTTTCCAAGTACTGCTATTTATTTATTTTTTTATTTTATTTTTTTGTTCTGTAGTAAATGCAGTTTTACCAAACAGAAATGTTTTGGGTGCAATATTCAAAGGAATGCTTTCAGTTATAATACGAGAAAGCACTGAGTGTTTATGTGTACTGCTATATGCACATTTGAACCAACAACTTGTGAATGAACGAGTAAAATTCTAGTATAGGGTTTAAAACACTTTGTCAGCTTGTCTGGGTTATTTTTAGAAAGGATTCCCACAACCTTAATTATTATTATTTATGAAATGATACCATAAGTTTATTGCATAGAAATGTTAGAATAGATAGAATTATAAGAAAATACAGCTGTTCTTCAAACATTGCCGGAGAGAACAATCTCCTTGAAACCTTTCTGTAAATTAGTAAGGCTTAAATCTGTAGTTATTGATTAAAAACGAAAATTAACAAAAAGAAAAAAAATAGACAACAAAAACAAAAATGCAGCAGAATCAGTCATTTTTCCTTTCTAATTCATTATGCGTTTATACTTTGAAACTTAAGATTTAAAGCTTTTACTTTTTAACTTTTTAAAACTGTTATGGTGCTTGTTTTTTTTATAATGACTGTTGTAATCGATGACGTATGTTTATATCTAGAGACTTCCTCTCACACATGTACGGGAGTTAACCACAAGTTCTTTCAGCGTGTGGTTAACTCCCGTACATGTGTGAGAGGAAGTTTTTAGTAATCACCACCCACCGCCAACTCTTGGGCTACTCATTTACTAACGAATAGTGAGATTGACCGTAACATTATATTGCCTCCTCGGCTGAAAGGGCGAGCATGTTTGGTGGGACGGGGATCATGAGAGAAAAAAGAGCGTGTGGTTAACTCCCGTACATGTGTGAGGGAAAGATCGTTTAATTAACTCCCGTACATATGTTGAGAATGTTGCAGAATTAGTGGTGCTTCCTTTGAATTTGGTTTTAGTTATCTAGGTATATATTATGTCTGCCTTTGAAACGTTGTCTGTTTTATCTCTTTGCTACTTAAAAGTAAATATATATGTTATTTGTAGTATTCTCTGATGAAATATATTCACATCCTTACATAAGTACATTTTATGGTCCGAGTTCATTCATGAATATACTTTTTATGGCAACTCTATCGATCAGCGATTGCAAAACCATTTTGTGAATTTGACCGAAATCTTAAAAGATGAAATTTGAATGAAATTCGATATTATGATATATATATCGGTATCACTTAATAACTGTTAAACTGGTTTAATTCAGGACCGTGCTTGGCCTAGTGGTTAACATGCCGGACTGCGAATCACGCTCTACACTCTGGAGCCGTTAGTACGTTATAATAGTGACAGTCAAATCCCACTATTCGATTAGAGTCACCAAAGAGCTAGCTTTGACTGCTGTTCACTAACTGCCTGCCCGGCATGGCCACCTGGTTAGGGCGCCTGACTCGCAATGTGAGGGTCGCAGGTTCGAATCCCCGTCCCACCAAACATGCTCGCTCTTTCAGCCGTGGGGGCGTTATAAAGTGACGATCAATCCCACTATTCGTTGGTAAAAGAGTTGGCTAAATTAGGGACCACTAGTAGTGATAGCCCTCGTATAGCTTTGCACGAAAAAAACACAAAACAACAAATAAACAAACGATATAAAAAAAAACTTGTTAGGTTAACACAACCGCAACGTAAACAAATTTTAGAATAAATCAAATAATAATGAGGGCTAGCGAATGCTCGTACAGAGCTTTGAAATCTATATAAACATTTTTGACATTTCAAGGGCAATCAAGATTATGCAATTATCTGAATCTGTATATTTCTCCAGTCCCGACCTGAAATTGCTTACATCTTGTCATTACGTTCCGTTATATATATATTTATATTTACCGAAGTCATTAATTATTATTAATAATTTTAGTATGTTTAAACTCAGAAACATACAGTAGTCGAAACGCTATCGAACCCAACCAAAGCCGTTGGACACTTTGGTAAATGAAATTCAGCTATAGATCTAGGCATGTGTTCATTCTATACGTGTAGTATAATATGCACCACTTTTATGCAAAGCTACAATAAGTGTTGCTTGGCTTTTCGCTCATGCACACAACGACAGTTAAACGTAGTATAAAGTCTCAAATAGATTATGTTTACTCTCATTATACAGTGTCTAATATACAGCTTATTGTGTTAATGTCGTATATCTACGTGTATTTATTATTGTTATGGTTTCACACATCTCACTTACTTGCATATTATTTGTACTCTTGTCTTTATTATGCGAGTAGTCAGCTGACAATAATTAAGACGCCTATACTTACTCCTCTGTGTTTATAATAAGCCTTGCACAGCACTTGACTTAAACAGTATGAACGTTGAAAGCCCTTGAAAGGTACTTCATTCTGATAGTCAAGAGTTCAAAAGCATTTTTATCTTGTTTACGCTTTTCACGTATCGTGATCTCTAAACGCAACTCGCGAATGTGGTATAGACGTTTAATACCCATTGTGCCGTAAATTAGCTGGAGGTTCTTATGTCGATGGTAAGTAGATATATTCTATGTTTAAATGTTTTCACAAGTATTCAAAATTTAGGCTTAGGTATTTATAGTTTAAAGAAAATGTTAAACTGTAGCTTTTTGCTTATCTTATGAAAAATAACTTTGATGCTAAAACAAATCATGTGTCATCCAGAGTGTATAGTTTATCTGCTCGTTTCTCTTCTGTGTAAATCCCCATCTTTTTAGGAAAAAAAGTAATAAATTTTAAGATTTACCTAATATTACCATAAAAATAAACTCGAAAGGAAAGAAAATGCATGAACCAATGTAAGCCGTAAAAAAAAGATGCTTTGTTTATTATACGTGTGCTTCTCAGTAAATTTAGTGTTATCTGACTTAAATACGTTCAGTGTCTTTATGTAGACAATATTTCACTCTTGTGTTAATGTAATATATTTCTAAATGTATAAAACTGGAACTTTCAACTTTGATCCAAAAGGCAATAAAAACGTCCGATGGGTATTCCGCTTCAGGTATAAACCTTACCACCCCATAAGTATTTAAACTAATAATATAATAATGAGTTTTAAACTTATCAAATAACTATATTGACCTTAAAGTTAGGAGTTTTTATGTAACCCAATGATCACTAATTGGATAATACTAATTTGTTTTGAACACGCGCGCCGTATTTTGAACTACGATAATACTGGTGTAAGCTTTAAACACACACACACACCATATTTTGAACAACAGTAATACTGATGTAAGCTTTAAACGCACACACCTTAATTTTGAACTACAATAATAATATTTTAAGCGTTAAATACACGCGTCTTATTTTGAACTACAATAATACTGGTGTATTCTTTAAACACACACAACCTTAATGTAAATACTAAAGTGATTAACTTACTATTGCAGATCACCCACGAGTCTCAGGTGATTTCAAGCACCCCACTACGGCTGACAGTTCGAGAGAAACACACGTCATCTCTCAAAAAAATTTTGAACTGGGCGAGAGGTCATTTTGGAGCGCTGACTTCACTATCAAGAATCCGAATGGCTAACAGTGTTGTGTTGAAGATTGGAGTAGGTAAGCTGAAATTACAAGTCGTTTGTATATGAATTCTTTCATTTTCTCCTTCAATTTAAAAATAGCTCGTATTTTCAGGTTTTGAGATTCTCCTCTATTTGAATTTTGTTTCGTATATTTCCGACTTTAGTAATTAAGTTTAAAAAATTACAAAATCTACCAAATGACGTTTATTTTGGCATACGTAATTTCCTTCAGTTTCAACCAATCGTAAACGAATGGTATATAAATTAGCAACTAACAGTATCCTTATAAAATGTTAAGATATTTACTAATTCATAAAATAATTTGACAGGCCCAACAGTAAATTAAAATTTAGGGTTTCAAAAGACCATATATATACATGTTTATTTATCAAACCAAATATACGTAGTAATTAACGTGAACTATTTTTATTTGTGTGTTTAAATGACCATTATAAAATCTGGTTCAACAAGTTCACGATAGCTTTGCTAAGTACTGGTGATCTAAAATATAAGTGACAATAGCGCAAATAATCCTTGTCAGTACTGTGCACAGGAATTTAAATTTGACCGCTGTTGGGGGTCACGTTAAACACAAACATATATGTGTGTATATATATAAACCATGTCAACATTGTAATAACCAATGTTATAGGGGGGTAGCTGTTTGCCTTCCTTTGTGCACACCCTTGTACGTTTATGTGACTTTACGAAACAACCAAACAATCTTTGCTAGGTCATTATTTACAGTTTTACATAAGACTCTGGAATAAGAAGGTGTAAACAACGACCTAGATAATAAATTACGACACACTAGTGTACATTGTCTAATTCACTGTCATACAAATAGGCAATCACCGACAACTTTCGTCTGTGAAAACACAAACTTATATTTCAAATACCACAAACGCAGTGACGCTTTAATAACCTGTGCTTATTAATTCAGTCTATGACCTATATCGGGACATTTTATTTAATAATGTACATTGTGTATTGCCAAATAAAAAAGAAGAAAAAACGTAATAAAAATTTCAACCTTTGAGGGTTTCGCCAGTCATTATATAACATAACGGAAAGATATGCCTATACTTGCAGAGAAAGCAGTGCTAACAAGAAAGAATCAGTCTTTTACTATTTCCAATCTTTAGGAATAATATCAATTATTTATCCAATTAATTTAAATAGCTGAATGAAAAACCCCAGTGCTGTACGCTTTTAAGATCTCGAAGCTAGAAATATAAACCGTTTCTTATCGTTATACACACACACACACATATATATATGTTAATTCATATTAACTTCCGATCAGAGCAAGCCACCAACGGAGATCAAACTGTAAATCAACTCGGTGATGAGTATATCCAATTGAATATACTTTTCTTACGTTCTAACGTATAAAGATTAAAATTAATTGTTTCGTCAATAGGGTACCTCGCTGGTAACGATATTTTCGGCCGCAGACCCAATAACATTTCACGAAGTTCAGCAAGCTTAGGAGTTTGTCCTAAACACATATATACTAAGCTAACAATGACAAACAATCTTTGTAATGAAAGTATAATAAAACTAGATATATTAAACCATTCTAATCAATATTGTTATTGAAAATAGCATTAAAGAAATAATATAAACAAAAGTTTGTCATTTACGGAACACACAAACATTAGCTGCAAGTGCTGACTTAGATTCGATGTGCGTTGAAAAACGCGATTTCCTTGAGTGGTTTCCAACGGTGAAAAAGCAAAACAAAAACATTTGTATCTAACCTCTTATATAATCTTAAAGTCAACAGATAGATGATTTAGTTATCATATCGTACAAACTTCACGTTCGTCACCGAAATCACAATAAATCATTGGTATTTGTAGCAGTTTTCCTTTAAACTATAAATATAACGGAAGAAAACTCATTCTAATGAAAGAATATTCATTCTATTTAAGGGGCCCGGCATGGCCAGGTGGTTAAGGCACTCGACTCGCAATCTGAGGGTCGCGGGTTCGAATCCCCGTCACACCAAACATGCTCGCCCTTTCAGCCGTGGGGGCGTTATAACGTGACGGTCAATCCCACTATTCGTTGGTAAAAGAGTAGCCCAAGAGTTGGTGGTGGGTGGTGATGACTATCTGCCTTCCCTCTAGTCTTACACTGCTAAATTAGGGACGGCTAGCGCAGATAGCCCTCGTGTAGCTTTGCGCGAAATTCAAAAAACAAACAATCTATTTAAGGAGAAAAAGGTGGTGAGCCAAATCTAAATAAAATCTGTGTACGTTGTTTATTTATTAAGCTTTCGGTGGAGTAAAGTGTAAATGTATCTAGTTTAGTTTCTAAGGGAAAAAATAAATTAAATAGTTATATTGATATATATATATAAATGGTGGTTTCTGTCTCTGTCTTTTAATCGTTCTTAATAAAACATTTTATTATTTTACTGAATGGAATTATGAATAAAAAAGAAAGAAAAACATACGGAGGAAGGTTGTTTAAAAGTTGTTTTTACAAAGAGATCATCATTTTCCTATCTTGTCGTCCATTCAGCTACTTACCCGAAACCTTCATTTTTTCCGTCCTTCTCTGCTACCTGTTTCGTTCATTCAGCTATTTTAATTGAAACCCTCATTTTTTTCCGTCTTTCTCTGCTACCTGATGGTGATATATGAGTTTCGTTTGGAAGTTGGTAACAGTATCATAAAAACTTAAAAAGTGAGAGGCCTAACAGAACTCAAGTTACGATCGAATATACAATATACATTTATATCATTTTGACGTTTAAACGATACGTGTTTTCTCTCCCCCCAGTGACTCAGTGGTAAACTCGAGGGCTTATAACACTAAAATTGGGGTTAGATCCCTTCGGTTGGCATAGCTCAAATAGCCCATTGTTCAGTTTTGTGCTTAAACCAAACAAACTCTCCCTCTCTCTTTTTCTTCCTATCACGTTTGGTGGGTTGTATTTACTTTACGGCTTTGGAAACCGATTAAGTTTTGCAGCAAATATAACTGTATAGTTACTTTGGTGATTTTATATACCAATTTCGTTAGATTTTATGATTTTATGGAAAATGTACTATGTGGAAACATTGTTTCTTTCGCTCTTTATATTCTTGTTCTTTTGTGGCTTGGTAAGTAAATAAAACATAATGAAAAACAATAGTTTTTGTGTTGGACTCCGTCTCTTGCCATATGAATGTCATTGGAAAAATAGATTATTATTTCCACCCATCCATCTGTTTATCTACAGAATTCTCAATTATGTATCTTTAGATTTTATGTTTATCTTCGTTAGGAGTGTGTGTATGATAAAAATTTCTTTTCTAGATATATTCGAATTCTAAAGTAGCATGATGTTGTGAATTCGACCTTTTAGGTTTGCCAGTCTTTAGAAATAAATAAAAGTCTGTTTTGGGGCAACTGGGTTGGTTTAAATACGATACAGCAAGCCATCGAACATGCTTTGTAATCCAGCATTAGCACACAATTTACTGTTTTAGGGCAACTGGGTTGGTTTAAATACGATACAGCAAGCCATCGAACATGCTTTGTAATCCAGCATTAGCACACAATTTACATATGCCAATATGTAATAACTGTCTTCTTTACAATTCCTTCTTTTCGTGTAGATTAATAGTATGGTTTCTGCTAATATATGAATGTTTGTAGACTGGTTTTGTTATAAGAGCATGAAGTAATGAAAAGACAGAGAGCGGCGGCGTCACGTTTTGTGTTGCAGGGAAGCACACGTGTCTCAGCATGTTAAATATGAAATGTGCCTTTATGTGAGCGTGAGGCATGAAATAAACATAACTCAGCAACACAAAGAATAGAGCACGATTCTCTGACTTGCATAGTAAGTAGAAGCGGGTGAAAGTATTAGTTGGATGGTTTATGGGATGAAGCTCTAAGGAAGTCTTCATTAATGTAATGCATCTAATGTTTTCCACCCCCTCTCTCACAGAATTGTTGTTTGGTCTACTACTGAAGGGATAATAAACTGCAGCCAGCCTGATGTGAGCTCTGAGCAATACGCGTCATCGGCAGTGGATATGGCGGACACGGTGTGGCTGAGATACTGTTGTACAATCTACTTCTCGAAAAAAAAACCCTTAGTGACCGAATTTAGTGTAGTGTTTAAACATACAACAAGCCTAACATCGTTGTATTATGAAAAATGTAACTGGTTAAAACTATAGCTGTTTTGATATTAGGGGCGCCAACTGTGTGGGGTGAGGGGGGCAATTGCCTCCCTAAAAAGGAAAAGATTGGAAGCACCTGAAAATGAGGTACCATGCAGCCTTACACTGTTACTGTATCTGTTGCAAAACTACAGTACGTTCCAATGCCCCGCCATCTATTATTACATTTTCACGTCAGAAAAATCCACGAGCGTTTTGGGTCTGGCGTCTCAGAGCTACTGTAAAAATTTGCCTTTCCAAAGTAAACCTGAAATGTCGTTGCTATTTGGTCCAGAAGGCGCCGAAATCGGCAAAATTGAGTAGATGTCTCGTTAAGTATGTTTTGTGAATGGCATAGGTGCAAATATGAAAGGTTTTGGATTCGTCTGAGCTATCTAATAACATCATTAAGATCAGTATAGCACGTGCAATTTTGGATATTTTCAAGATATATTGATATCTGTGTGCTTGGCAACTTAACACTGAATGAGTTAGATACACTGCTCTTTGAAGTTTATAAATATTTTATTGGGTATAATTTTCTCACGAGGTGGGAATAATCTGATTTTCTGGCTGGAACATATCAAGAAATGTGTAATCAAATGACGATAAAATAGTTTCTAATAAGAAACTAATTACACCATTAAGCCCCTGCCAGGTGCTATGAACAGTTTCAAAATAACTTTTGGTTTGTAGGAAATCAGTAATAAGTCCGTGCATGTATTTAGATATTGCACAAAGTTTCGGTCTTTGCCTTCTGTATTCGTTCTTTTGTTTTAAAGATGGTAAACCATCGTAACTCAAATAAATACAATGTAACACCACGACATAATTGTAGTGTGGTCGCAAGACCAACAGGAGTATCTTG